ACTGCTCCACTCGGGTAGTTCTACACCCCCCCCCCACACCCCCGCGCGCCCAAGCACCTCATCTCGCCGGCACGGCCTACGGCATTCAGGGGCTGCAACGCAAATTAATGCACTACAACTATGCGCGCCCACTGACTGCGTCCCCGGGACCATTTATTCTTTGCCTCCCCCTCCCCCTCTTTTTCACCCGGACCCACCACGCCGTGCGGTTGACGCGGTTCGAGTCAATTTTGTCGACGCGTTGCCGACTTCCGCCGAAGGTTTCCAAGAGTATCCCCGAAGCGACAACTTCCGGTTTCCCGCTGCCAGAGGTAAAATTCAATAATTCTTCCCTCCTGCAGCCCGAGCCACACGGAACGGAGTTGACTACAAGTACTTTGCATTTCGTCACGTGGCACGTTTTAAAGCTTCATAAATTGTAAGTGCATGCGTATGATGAAGGGTGCAGGGCGCAGCGGTGGGTTCTTGAATCTGGCAGCGAGCTGGCCGCGCCGCAGACTGATTCCGAGAGTCGTGTTTGGTCGCTCTGTCTCCCTCGCACTCATGGGGCGTCCCGTGTAGGTGCTAGAGAGAACCAGAGCGACGAGGACGACTCTCGGAATCAGTCTGCAGCATAGAGGGTGCTGCACTCCCCTCCCCCTCCTCGCTATCGCCTTCGGGCACCCCCTGCATCTCCAGCGCCTCCTCCGCGCCTCCCTCGAGCCACACATCATCTGATCGGACCGCCGGACGCACTCACATGGCCCAGGGCCGCGGCACACAGTGGGCCAGAAGACCAGAGGAGGCGGCCAAAATTCTAGACGCGTTTTGAGCCCCAGCGTCACCAAATGGGACTCGAACCGAACGTGTGACCCCACCAATGGATTGCTCTCCGAACGAGGAATCCACTGGTGGGGTCACACGTTCGGTTCGAGTCGCATGTAGCGGCTCTGGAGCTCAAAACGCGTCCAGAATTTTGGCCACCTCCACCGGTCTTCTGGCCCACTGTGCGGCAGACCAGGCAGCCCAGGCAGGCCCACCCTCCTTCCCTTCAATTTCTGCCCCATGATCCCATACTGATCTATTTAGCGTCGCCCGCTACACTTTTTTCCCATCCGAGAAGGAAGAGGGGAGTCGACGACTCAAGCAACTGCGGCGCCGTGCACGGCGGCCACGCCGACTCTCCCTCGCTGGAGGGACTTCGGCAGGAAAGACGCTCGTCGGAAAGCAGTAAATCAACGCACTGCGAAAAAAAACAACAAAAAACTGCCTTTTAGCTTGCCTACCTGGAAGGGGACGGCGGCTCTCTGATCTGCGTCGCCGCGACGCGATGCGCGACTGCCCGTCCGCAGGGAGCGTTTGCCTCGAGTTGGGCACGTCTGCACACATTAATCCACCCCCACGGGGGCGACTTTACAAAAGGAAGGCCTCTCCACGACCCGCGCCGACTTTGCGAACAGCGCGACAGCCGCACGGCCCCGCACGGCACGCGGCTGCAAGTGCAAGAGAGAGCAAGAGGAGTGCATTGTTGTTGTCTGTTCGCGTCTCTCTCGTTTGGCTGAGGGGGACGCCCCGCCCGTGTGGGACAGTGCGGGACCGCGAGGCGCCGCGAGGCGCACCCCCACTGTATCAGAAAAAACGCCCGGAGTCACGCTAGAGGGGCCAACACTCAGAGGCTTCAAAAACACACACACACACGCACACACGCACACACACACACACACACACACACACACAACCCCACACGTGTCATAATGGCGTGCGCGGCACGGAAGCTACTCGCTGGGGCGCGGCTTTTTAATGAGAGCTGACGCGAACCCTTTTTCTGAAAGGCGGCGGCGGAACGGAACGGAAGGGAGCGGAAGCGAAGGGCCCCGAAGCGCCCCGAAGGGCAAGGGAATAATTGGCGAGACAAAACGGAGGCAACAAAAGTCGCGCACGGCGAAATCCACACTCTGGGAGGAATCGACCTCGCTCCACGCGCAGCACGCGCAAAGAGGACTTAAATGACTTTTCAAAAAACGGCGGCTCTTTTAGAGGCCGTCGCGCGCGATGCTTGCGGTACGGCTCGGTTGGTCGGCCAGTTTGCCTCAGTCCCACCCCACAGTGTGCCAGAAGACCGGTGGGGGAGGTCAAAGCCGCGTCGCTACATGTGACTCGAACCGAGCGTGTGGCCCCGCCTATGGATTCCTCATTCGGAGAGAAATCCATTGGTGGGGTCACACGTTCGGTTCGAGTCCAATTTAGCGACTCTGGAGTTCAAAACGCGTCTAGAGATTTTGCCGCCTGTGCCGACCTTCTGGCCCACTGTGCGTCTCCGCCCGACGGGCTGGCAGCTCCGCGGGCAACCCGCCCTCCGGACCAGCAGCCCTGCGGCCGGCCAGCCAGCCCGGCCAGCCCCCGGCGCGTGGACGCCGGCAAACTTGGCGACGGCTTGACGGAGTTCGGCGCGTTAAGACCGCAGAACTGTCGCGGCTTGGGCGTGGCTTGGCCATGGCTCGGCTTGGCCATGCCTCGGTCTGTGGCGGCAAGCGGCACGCTGGGCGCTGGTGGGACCGGACGGCTGCGGTGCGCAAAAGCCGCCAGAAAGAAGGCCGAAATTAATTTTAATTTGAGAGCCCGCCCGGGACTCCGGCGGCGGCCAACGCACTGGCCTCGGCGGCGGGGCCGCGCCGCGCCTGGACGGCGACGCCGCATACTTCCCAAATTCCGCGCACGCGCCGCTGATCTTATGCGTGGCGCGGCGGCGGCGGTTCACACGGACACGGCCAGGGTCGCTGCTGAGCTCTGAGTGAATCCGATGAGCGGAGGCAGAGGGGCCGGGGAGTTCTCCTACCTCCAATGGATTCTCACACGGTCTGAAGTTTCCCTCCAACTCGCCGCCAACTCTCCACTCGGTGCTCTCACCCGCCCTAGGCCCGCCCTGCTGCACAGTGGGCCAGAAGACTGTTGGCGGCGGCCGGAATTCTAGACGCGTTTTGAGCTCCAGAGTCGCTAAATAGGACCCGAGCCGAGCTTTTGACCCCACCAATGGATTGCTCTCCGAACGAGGAATCCATTGGTGGGGTCACACGTTCGGTTCGAGTCCTGTTTAGCGACTCTGGAAACTCAAATCGCGTCTGGAGTTTTGGTCGCCTGCACCGGTCTTCTGGCCCACTGTGTGCTGTGCCGCCCGCCTAAGGCTGGCCCTCCCCCGGTCTAGGCCCGCCCCGCCACGGGCCCTTCCCACCATAATTACTTGAGCACGCCACCGGCGGCGCACTCAACGCAATTTGAAAATGCGAGACCGCGCCCCGCGTTCGCTCTGCGCGCTCTGCGGCCACCAGCTTCCTTTCGTCCTTTCGTCTGAGGAGCGCAGCGTGTGGCAGAGAGAGAGAGAGAGAGAGAGAGAGAGAGAGAGAGAGAGAGAGAGAGAGAGAGAGAGAGAGAGAGAGAGAGAGAGAGAGAGAGAGAGAGGGGGGGGGGGGCGTTACGTGGTTTGCGGACGGCCCCGAAAGCAGGATTCGTCTGTTTGCCTTGGCTGAAACTAGGCCCCGGATGCGTAATCAAGGCGGCGGCTTGAACCAAGCCTAAACAGAACCTCAACACCCTCGAGGAGAACAAGCGATAGCGGAGTAGAGGCGGTGTGTCGGGCTGGCGGTGGCGGCGGCGCTCGCACGCCGTGTGACTCCGTGTCGCGAGCAGCGAAATTAGTCCGAGCAGTGCGTCGCCCGCGCACAGTGGGCCAGAAGTCGGGTGGCTGCTCCGCATGGCTTGTGCGCCCGCCGAGTTGAGGATAGGCCACCCGCACCACGGTCGCGTCCACAAGCAGCGACGGTTGCCTACCTGGAGGTGCGCAGGCGCCTGCACACTTGGCTGAGAATAGCTCGGACCACTGCGCCTACAGATGATAGGCACATTCTGACTTGACAGGTTCCAGAACCGGCTAGCAAAAGAAATAATCCGGGTCGACTTCAAATAATGCCGATTCTTCGTGGCAGGACGCTGGCTGGCCGACGAGGCGAGATTTGCATAGCGAAATTACTTTCTTTCTGGCGCTGTATTTGAACCGCGCGTGACCTTCGCTAAGACCCCGCGGCGCGGAGCGCAAAGAAGCGCCGACCCGGCGGACCGGGTTCAAATACCCGCGCCAAGCGCGCGCTCACGCTCGTCTGTTTTTTTTTGCTCCTTTTTCTGAGAAGAAATCTTTCTCCTGACCTTCCCTTATTCTCGCCCCGCGCGGAGGGCCGGAGTCGCTGAGGGCCTTGAGGGCTTGGTGCTGGTCACGGGGATGATGCGGTGCCCGCTCTTCGCCTCTTCGCCGCGCTGGCCGAGGCTGGCCGAGGCTGGCCGTCCCAGTGTACATCGTGATTCTTTGTCCCCCTCAGCCAGCCGCTCACTTTTCTCCCCCCCCCCCGGGCGCTCTCAGCGCACTGAACCGCCCCCTCCCCCCTGCAGCCCCCTGCAGCCCGCGGTGGCGGCCAGACAAGGATGGAGCACCGGCCGCGGCGCGAGGGAGCGAGAGGGAGGGAGAGGGAGGCCCGGGCGGGGCTGGGGTGCTGCCTGGGCGTGGTGTTGGGTGGTCCGCGGCAGCCCCTCAGTTGGTCTCCAGCCTCCGGGCCGCCAGGACGCTGAGCTCTCCGCACGCCGCCGTGCCGCCCCCGGCCCGACGCCGAGTGTACGAACGACCGCGCCTTTCAACGTCCGCACGGCGCCGACCGCCAGGACCCCCGAGGCCGCCCCGAGGCCGCCGTCGAGTCCGGGCCCCGCCCCCAGGCCGTGCGCCAGGATATTCTCGCCGGGCGCGGAGCAGTGCGCGTCGGCGGACAGGGTGTTTTGGTGCGACTCTGTGCGTGCGCGCCCGCGCGCGCGGGCCCCAGGATACGATGCGGCTGCAGCAGCGCCCCGCCAAGCCGGCGGCCTCCAAGGACACCGGCAGCGCCAGCAGCGCCTGCACCGCCAAAGCCGGCCCGCAGGCCGGCAGGCTCGCCGCGGTCTTGCGATTCTGCCGACCGGTGCCGCTCGTGTGTTGGTGACAGTGTCAGTGTGTGCGTGGGTGTGAGTGCGTCTGTGTGAGTGGCCTGGACCGAGCGTCGCCGCCACGATGCTGCGGGCACTCCCCCGCCGCCGGCACGCCCCGGACGCGCCTTCCCTCCTGCTTGGACTTCTGCTGCTGGGAGTCGCCGGCAGCCTGGCGCAGTTCGCCTCCGCGGAGGCCGACGTCAACCTGCCACTAGGTGAGCGAGAGAGGCAACCCGCCGACAAGGACAACAAGCTGCCAGCGGAAGGTTGCTAAAGGTCCAAAGCCCTGGAGCCGCGGACCGTCGCGGAGCCAGCCAACAAGGACAAGAAGGAACAGCTGTTGGCTCCGCGCTGCGGTCCCTAGCCTCGGCCGTCTGCACAGTGGCGTTGCAGTGCTTCCTCGGCCTCGCCATGGAGTCCTTCGTCGAGTCGGGGTTAGATAACCAGGCCAGCTGGCATTGTTCGCTCCAGGGAATGACCAAAGTGCGCGGCGACCCCGCCCCGCCGCCTTCCCCCGTCCAACCTGTTGAGGCGTCGTCGATTTTGGATTGCGCGGACTAGTGTTGCGTGCGTGTGTGTGTTTTGCGTGCGCGTGTGTAGGTGTGTGTGAGTGTGTGTGTGTGTGCGAAAGCGAGCGAAGCACGGGAACGACTGACTTCTCCTCGCGGCGGTCGCCTAGCAACGACGGCAAAGTAGCACGCTTTGTTGGAGGGCAGCCAACCTAACCGCTGTGTACGCCGCCCCGCTGCCGCCGAGGCCCCGGAGCGCCGCAGCCACCCCCTCCCCCCTCCCCCTCCCCGGTCCACTCCCCAGCCGTTGAATGACCCCTGCTCCGCCATGTCCCTTGTCGCCTGGGGCCTCTCCTTCAATTTCGCGCGCGTTCCTGGCAGCACACTGGTACACAGTCCTGCCCGCCGCGCTCGCAACGGTCGCCGCCTGTTGCCTGTTGCTCGTAGGCAAAGAGGCAAGCGAGTGGCCGCGCTGCACGGCGCCCCGGGCCTCGCCACGCCTCTGGGCGCCCCGCCCCGCCCCGCCCCGCGCCCCGCCCCGCCCCGCCCCGCCCCGCCCCGCCCGCCCCGCCCCGCCCCGCCCCGTCACCACCAGAGGTCCGGGGATGACCCGAGTACCCGACCCGACCGAAGAGCGCCCACTGATGCGAGTGTCGGCCAAGCTTCGTGGCTGTATCGAAGGAGCGGTGTTACACTGTGTGAAAAAATAATCTTGATATGGAATTAGAGTTGTCCGGTGCGTTACAATGCAGATGCTCACGGTTCAGAAGACGCGTTTTGAGCTCCAGAGTCGCTAAATGGGAGTAAACCGAACGTGTGACCCCACCAATGGATTGCTCTCCGAATGAGCAATCCGTTGGTGGGGTCACACGCTCGGTTCGACTCCCATTCAGCGACTCTGGAGCTCACGACGCGTCGAGAGTTTTGGCCGCCAGCGCCTGGCCTGGCCAACGTGAACGTGGAGCGCCCGGCATGGCAGGGCAGGCAACCCGGCGGCTCGTGTGGTGGGGGCGCTGGCAGGCGCTGGCAGGCGCTGCCTACCTCCCCGGCGGCGGCACATGTCCAGGGAAGGGGAGGGGGCAGGGTCAGGCTGGACGAGCCCCGGGTTTACCCCGCAGCGCCGCGCCGCCGCGCCGCCGCCGCCCTCAAGGGGGCCCTGCGCCTGGCCGCACGGCCTCCTCGAAGCAGAGCCGCCCTCATCCGGCATGCGAATTATGTACTCGGGCGAATGAAGAAAGTTAACCCGCAACAGTGTATTTATTTTTATTCATGAGTGCCATTTACAATTATAACGAGAAGACGAGTGCCCCCTCCCCCCACCAGCCCTGGCGCGGTCCAGCCGTGCCGTTTCCTTGCCAGGCTGGGAGTGTGCGACGAGTGGAGTGCACGCCCATTTGCGTCCCTCTCTCTGTCTCTCTCACTCCCCTGCCGCCCCTCCGGGCCCTCCGGCCGGACCAGTGTCACAGTGTCTCTGCGATTAGCTGTAGTGGCAAGTGTTCCACGCCGCTGCCCGCCGCCGCCCGCCGCCCCGGGCTCGGGTCGCTTCCTCTGCTCGCCTGCAAACCGAGCGTCCAGTGGATATGCCATAAGACCGGTGGAGGCGGAGAAAGCTCTGGAGGCGTTTTGAGCTCCAGAGTCGCTAAACAGGACTCGAACCGAGCGTGTGACCCCACCAATGGATTCCTCGTTTGGAGAGCAATCCATTGGTGGGGTCACACGTTCGGTTCGAGTCCTATGTAGCGACTCTGTAGCTCAAAACGCGTCTGGAGTTTTGGCCGCCTCCACCGGTCTTATGGCCCACTGTGCGGGGCCGTTTCCTCGACACGGCTCAACCCTTGCGAAGGCGGTTAAATGCGTTCAATTGAGGCAAATTGCCGCGCCGCGTCCGCAGTCTTCACGCTGTGCCACAAAAAAGCACTCCTCGGCGGGGTATCGCCGAAGTGCAGCCAGGCCGCTGTCACTGCCAGTGTCACGTGCTCGGCGCGCTTAGACAGTCCTGCCGCGCAGCGAGTCCTCGTCGACGTCGCTGCACCCCGGGGAGTCAGTCAGCCAGCCAGCCAGCGCGGGGTAGCGGCGCGCGGCTCAATTCTTTCCCCGGCTGCTGCAGACTGGTTCCGAGCGTCGCCGCCCTGTCTCTCTCGCACCTATACGGGCCGCCCCACGAGTGCAAGAGAGACAGAGCGACGAAAACGACTCTCGGAACCAGTCTGCCGGCTTGCCTCGGCTGCAAAGGGCGCCCCGGGGATGATTGTTATTCGGCCGCTGTCGTCTCCAATTCATCAGGCGGCCCCGGGCGGCCCCGGGCGTGCCTGCAGTTAAAGTGGAGGCCGGCGTCGACGGCGACGTCGGCGACGACGACGACGGCAAAAACAGAGGAGGCGGTGACGCCGCCGTGGGGCGGCAGGCGGCTGGGCGGCAGGGCGCAGGGCGGCACCGCGGCACCGCGGCGTTGGCAGTGGTGGCGAGAGGCGAGAGACGCAATCCAATTTGCCCCGCCACTCGTTTTAGCAGGGCTTTTGCAGCCGGCGGCACGACGACACGACACGCCGCCGCGGCCCGCCAGCACTGATGCTGCGGCCGCCACCGTTGTTGTTGTTGTTGCTGCTGCTGCCGCCGTGGTGGTGGTTGTTGTTGTTGTTGATGTTGTTGGCGGCAGTGCGCGGGGATAAATCAAACGGCCGCCACTCAACTTTTCCTCCCGCATTCAGCGGCAGCGCGGGGCGATTCGAATGGCCGCCACGGCGGCGGAGGGGAAGGGGGTGGCGAATGGGGAGGGGAGGGGGACGCTGCCGGTCCAGTGTGCGGTGTGCCAGAACTTTTTTGCACGCTTTAATTAATCAATGCACCGAAGCATACGGAAGTCTGGAAATGGGGCGCAGCTCTCTCTCTGAGTGTGTGTGTGTGTGTGTGTGTGAGAGAGAGAGAGAGAGAGAGAGAGAGAGAGAGAGAGAGAGAGAGAGAGAGAGAGAGAGAGAGAGAGAGAGAGTGGGGTGGTGGGAGGAGTGGGCAGGCTTTCGGGATGCAGTGGGTTTTGGGTGTTTCGTCTCTCTCGACTTCGCCCAATAAATAACAATGCATTATGTCATCATTTCCCGGCCGGGGAAAAAGTGTCGGTCCAATCGGAGCCGCGCGAGTTCGGTTTCGGTTCCGCCGCCGCGCCGAGTTTCGAAAACACACAATAATGGAATGAAAACGGATATAGAGTGAGGAGGAAGGGAGGGGGGAAGGGAAGGGGAGGGGTTGGTTTGGCGCGAACGGACGAAAAAAAGGCCAGGAGGAGGAAGGGAGTGGCGGTGAAGTGGCGCCAAGAGTGGGAGAGAGAAGCTCTGTTCCCACGGCCTGGCGACAAGGACGGAGAGACGACCGCACCGGCCGGTCGGTTAATGACAAATAAGCGCGCGGATGTTTGACGAGGACTTTCGTTGGCCACATCGAGGGGCAGGGAGGGGAGGGGGGTGGGGCTTCCGTCCGAGAGTGCGAATCAGTCCTAAATGCCTGCGTCATGTCTGGCGCGGCCCGAGCGCGCCACCCGGGACCATTCGGCACCATTGGGCATCGTTGGGCAGGACTTGTTGCGGTGTAGGGCTGACCTCTCTCTCTCTCTCTCTCTCTCTCTCTGACTCGAAATTGATGACGGCGCGGCTCCCCGGCCGTCCGTCCGCCTGTCAGTGTGTCCTCCATCTTGCACGGCGCGCTAAAACTTTGATGCGAAATACGTACGCGGGGTGAGGAAGGTGCGCGTCATTGCGCTCCTCGAGGCGAAGTGAGACAGACGACGACGACGTCGAAGTGCGTGGAGACGTCCGCATAGCACCGCCTGCGCCTTCACTTTGCTCGCTTTGCCGGCGAGGATTATACATTGAGGCCCGGGCTGAGCCGAGAGAGCTTACTTTGGGCTGTCGGGAGGGCGGGGCGGGGCGGGGCGGCGCTCGGCAGGGAGTCGAGTTTGCCGGGCAGACAGGACCCTTCGCCCTTCGCTGCAGGTATCTTGGGGCAGTTACTTATCAGCTCATCTCGGGGCCGACGCACCTGGTCAATATGGCCGGGCGGGGCGGGGCGGGGCGGGGCGGGGCGGGGCGGAGCGAGGCGGGGCGGGGCGGGGCGGACCATGTTGCTGTTGTGCTAGGTGCCGGGGGAGGCGCGCACGGCCCGGACCCCCGCCTGCGTGGTGCCCTGGAGTCCCGGCCGGGCCCCTGGAGTCCAGGCCTGCAGCCAGCCTGGAGCCAGCCAGCCTGGAGCCAGCCAGCCTGGAGCCGGCCAGTCTGGAGGCCTCCGGGACCGGAAATCCATAATCCAGCATCGCACCGCACGGCCCGGCCACGGCCCGGTCCACTTCCACTCGGCCACTTAGCCGCTAGGCCGTAATTACGTGAGACTAATCACATTTTGAGGCATTGCCCGGCCGGCATTGCCGGGCTGGCCTGGCCGGCAGGATCCGCCTTGTTGACGGGGACATAAAGCAAGCTTAAGCAAAACGCGGCGGTGCGGACTGCGAAATCGAGCGGGGCGAGAAGGAGGGGGGGAGGGAAATGAAAAGTAAATGAATGGAAAGGGGCAAATGAAGGGGAATAACAAGGCCAAACAGAACCAATGAGCCGGAAAATGTCGCACCTCCTCTGCGTCACATTCACACTCATGAAAACGTCATGTGTGTGTGTGTGTGGGGGGGGGGGGGGGGGGAAAGGGTGTGTGTGTTTGGAATAACG